CGAAGCGCTGTGGCGCTCGGTGTCCCCGCCGGGGCAGCGGGTGCCTGGGTGAAACGCGGGGCAGTGCCGGGGGCTGCCTGTGGGATCCAGGATGCACGATGGCACGGGCAGTGACGTGGCTCCTGCCGCAGTGGGAACAGGCAGCCTTCAGCTACAACCACTCCTCCTCACAGGGTTTGCTTAGAGTAGAAGGTCTAAACTCGGCTACACAGCTGGGCAGAGGCATACTGGCTTTTATTCCTACAAGAATAACCATAATGAAGGTTGGGGACAGTATTCTCATTAAATTGGGATTTACTTGTAAAAATAAATATGCAGCGATTAGTAACCGTGACAAATGGCCCCTGCTTGTATCACTGCAGCTGTGAGAGCCTCTTGCTGGTACTGAAGTACTGAATGGTGACATTCGTAATGTCTTAAAATTTCCAGTTACCTGTTAGCTGACACCTAGGATCTCACATGGGTGTATCACCTTTGCACCAAGGTCTTTTGTTGCGCAGATCCTCAAACAGGACTATGCTCCAAGTTTGTTTTAGGCAGCATTGGTTTCTGGGATGTGTTTTTACCGTTGTCTGCAAAGTGTCTTGGACTTTTTATGATTGCCTTTTTTCATCTGGCAGTGCTCAAGAGCTCAAAATCCATCTCTAGGAAAGGAGCAGAACATATATGTGTTTTTTTAGGTGTTCTGCTCTTTTTTTTTTTTTTTCCCTTTTATGCAAACCCTGCAGCAAGTGGTTATTCCTGTCTTCAGCATGTGCTGTGAGGCTGCTCTTTGGTAATAAGTTATTGCTGCGGGGTACGAGCCTGGTTGCCCTGCAAGGGCCAGCAGATGGGCAGCCCGGGGTGCCAGGCGCCTCGTGGAGCTCCCACCTGGCGGAGCAGACGCCCGGGCTGCAGAGGGGGTGCAGCCGGGTCTCCCCACCCCTCTGGCTGATCTCCCCCTCAGGCTCGGGCTCTGCATGACGGGGGGGATAAGGGGGTCTTCTCCGAGGGCTTGAGAATGGCAGAGCAAAGGCAGAGGGAGGCATCTGGGATCCTTCCTGGGGGATCCGCATGAGTCCCGCTGGTCCATTTGCTTCTCCCACCTGCAGAGAGGGCTGCCCCCGCTTCCCTCCCCGGCTGCTTTGGGCTCTCTTACAGAAGCATGGCAGGAGGAAGCACCAGTTTGTATGACTCCCTCAGCCAGAGAATGGGAACAAAGGCTAAAGGAAGGCAGGCTGGTGAATGTGAAGGATGAGCCTCTCTGTTGTGGGGGACACGAAGCAAGATGAGGTCCCAGTGCGCGAATGAGAGTGGAGGTGCTGGGGGCTCAGGAGCACTTGGGGGTCAGAGGCTTCCCCAGGCTGAGCAGGGCTGGGACCAGGCAGGAGCGAGTCTGGGAGAGACAAGGAAGGGAAACCTCGTGGAAACCATGGCCTTGGCATAACAACCTGGATTCCTCTCTCTTCTTTCTCCGTGACTCTGCTTGGTGGGCTTATACACCTCTCTTTTTGTCTGTGTTTTTGTCTCCACCCAGGGCAGTGATGGTGACTCAGTGGATAAGAACAAATGCTGCACACTATGTAACATGTCCTTTACCTCAGCAGTGGTGGCCGAATCGCATTACCAAGGGAAAATCCATGCCAAAAGGTTAAAACTGTTGCTAGGTGAACAACCAACATTAAAGGCCACAGGTAGGTCCCGAGCCAGCGAGCCGGAGCAGGAGGGTCCGGCGCGGGGCGGAGTGGGCTCGCTGTGCCGAGGCACCGGCTCGGTGCCTGCACGGCAGAAAATGGATAGCTGAGCGATGAAGGCTGGCAGAAGCAGCTATTCATTTGTGTTGCTGTCATAACAACCTTTAAAAATTGCTGATGCTCGTTATTGTCTGCTTTGTTCACATACATCAGTGGTTTATCAGCCAGGGCTGGCCTTTGTATGAGGGTCCTATCTCTGACTCCATGCTTCTGAAGTGTTTTGCTTGGTGGAAGACGATCTCTCCTCTGGGCACAAATAGCCAAGCCTCACTTTAATTATCAGAAGTTATTCGACAGCTCAGCTAATATATTTAATAAACCTTTCGTGTTATTATACAGAACAGAATATAATTGCTTTTACCTCAGAGGGAAACCTAGTCTTTAAAAACTATTGGATCGATTGTCTTTTTGATTTTTGCCCAGATGGGTATGCTTTCCTCCATGGTGATTCCAATAATGCAGGCCTATTAACTTTCACATTTAAAAAGTCAAATGTTGGAATCAGATGATTTAACCATCTTATTGTTTGCTTAACCATAAAGTCCCTGCAAACCGCTACTGTACTGTGAAACAAAACTTCCTCCGTGCTCTTCAGGCCAGAGGATATGCAAACAAAATATTCTTCCTGCTAACCAGGCAGCGTAACTGGGCTGTGGTCCTGCAGACAGATGTATTTCAGTATTACTACTAGTGGCACTTCTGTCAGAACAGAGTATAAATTTAGCTGTGCCTTTTACATCCTGCCTAACACGATGTGCGTAAATCCTAGATGTGATTAAATAAGGGGGGTTTGGCTCTTTGTGTTTTTGTTGCTTTTTTAACTGTGCAGACTGTAGAGGCTGATGCATAGAATATCATTTGTCCTTTACCAGGATTGGCTTGGGAAATGTTATCCCCTTTGCATGAGGGAACACAGGGAATTGCTTTAGATGGTGCCTTACTTGTTTTAACTAATGAGTGCGCTCTCAGAATGCTTGTTAAGTGAAGGTGTGGCAGAGTTCACGAGTCAGAGGTGCATCTGGAAACTGCCTGGTGCTTTGGGTACCGGGTGTGAATCCCACGGGAGCCACGGATGGCAGGGCGTGCTGGCAGCTCCTGGCCATCCCTGCAGCGAGCCAGCAGGATGGATCTAACATGAATGAACATGATAATTTGCAGCTGACTCAGTTTAGGACTCCTCAGGCTGTTCTCTGCAGCTGGCAAATAATTACAAGGGCACTGAGAGAAGTAGTGTACTTGTTTATGGTATTTAATTGTCCAGTGCTTGCATTAGTGCTCAGAACTTCATCCCTCACGTGCAGCCTTCCAGCAGTTTCTCCTCCAGCACCAAAGGACCTGCCACGAAACCTAGTATTTCTGGTTAAATCCAGGTGAGTTTCTGAGGGTCGCTGCAGTGCTGGATTTCAGGGAATAGCGCATGGACAGAGTCCCACGTATATTGACGATTTAGATTCATGCATCAGCGGGGAAAGAGGTGCTGTTTTCACCTCCAGGACTGTCATTGCGGGCAGGACGCTGTGGGTCTGGCGCTGTTCGGGCAGGTCAGAGGGAGCAGCTGGGAGCCCAGGGTCTGCCTGCGGAGCTGGAGCCACGTGAAGGCAGACGAACAAACTGTGGGCAGTGGTTCTTGATCGATGGCAGGAGAGAATTGGCCTCTGCACAGCAGGTGCCGGTGGACATCACTCTGGTGAACCAACACTTCTGTTAATGAAAGATGTGTGTGGATTGGCAATTGGTAGATGAGAACTAGTTGCCCCCTCTCCTCTGTTAGAGACCGCTCCGAAGCGGTGCTGAGGCTGCCTCACTGTGGGGTCTGTGCAAGACCGTTCCGTGACCAGCCCTGCCATGCTGCCCATGCATACAGAAGCTGTAGTGCGCTGTCAAGGCAGGGCTTTCCAAGAGCTGCAACTTTGCATTGTGTTTTTGTCTAATTTTTTAATCATCTGGATCAGCATCACAGAGGGTCTAAGTGAGCTGCATCATGTGCTCCAAGAGTAATGGGCTCTTCAGCTGTTGTAATCACTAGGAAGGAGTAACTCGAGGACTCATCAGCTCTTCCACATACTTGATCTGATGAAGCTGAGCTGCAGGAATACATTAGTAAGTACCTCCTTGCTCTCCAGTAGTTCTCAGAAATGTGCCCTTTGGACACAGCATTTTTCTGCGCGTCCTACAGAGTCGCCCAGCATTTTTCCCCTGGCTGTCTTCTCCCAGTCCTTCATGACTGGCACCAGGGAGCTTTTAGTCTCTCGGACAGAGCTTCAGAGGCTCTGGTGCTCATGAGTCCTGGGAGCCAACCACGCGCAGCCCTGAGCGTGCTGGATGCTCCCGGGGAGGAGCATCCTGTCCCCAGGGGCTCCACACGTGCCTGTGACTGACTGCGGCGTGGCCTGGCTGCGGTGTGGCCGGTGGCTGGGCAGGGTTTGAGCGGCGGCTATGCTGTTTTTGGTAGGAATTCATCACTGAGATCATCTAGCCATTTTTCTTCTCCAGCTCTGTGGAAGGACACTCCAGAGGCTCTTGTACGTCGTCCTTAAAGCCCTGATTGCCAGAAGGCCGGTGAACGTTTCGGTGTCAGCTTTGAGTCCCCTGTGATGGAGGCTGGAAGTGCTGGTGGTGGAGCTGTAATTAAAGGGTGCTTTTTCTTAAAAAAAAATTAAATCCTGGAGCCCCTGCTTACAGGCATGTGGTGCTTTCCACATCCCCTTGTGGTGGGATGAGTCGTGGTTTGTTTTCCCTTTGATTTTCTTAAAGGAGATAAATAATGTTTAATGTAGGATTAATCTGCTCAGAAGTAAGCTGATAACTTGGAGTAATTCAGAGGTATTTATAATCACCAATGTGTCGCTGCTGAGGGATTCAACCCCTTCTGATGTTCTGGGGACCTGGAAGTTGAGCCGAATGACTGAGAAGTGGGTGCTGGCAATTCAGGAGGCATGAGCTCATGCTCGTGGTGTAATTGGTTAACATCTTTAAAAGAGATCAAGCTGCTATTCTGATCATAACACAGTAATCCTTCACATGATTATATGGGTTGAATATTTTATTTGGTGTTTCCCTATGCTCTTAAGATTAAAGTATTTTTTAACTTCTATGTGTGATCAAAAAAAGCAAGAAAGACTCTATACAAATATATGAACTCTTATAATCTTTTAATTTTTTAAAAAAAAGCTTAAAACATTTTCAGAGTTCCCCAAGTGCTCTTATTATGGCTGAGACTAAACATATACAGTTAATCTGAAAAGGTATTTTAGTGGCAATAGGCAAGTAAAAATAGATAATAACGTCCACATTGCAATGTTTGACTTTCAGCCTTGCACAAAAATTTATTCTACTACCCTAAATTGTTGTGAAGTTCTGTTTTGACCATTTTGTTAATTAGTGGGTCTGAGTGTAAAGGGGGGAAAGAATTTGTGAAATTCTTTGCAGGAGTCATTTTGTTCACACAGATGTACAGTTGTGGAGCATCGCATCTCTCTAAATTGCACAGTAACAAAATGAATTTAGGGGACAAAATGAAGATTAATAAATGCAGTTGAAACTGCAGGGGAAATTTAGGAGCAATTCTTGAGCTGTTCGAAAAGCAGTGTTTTCCAGTGTAAAAAAAAAAAAAAAAAGAAGATTGAAAAATATGTAATACTCATACATGACGTGAAAATGTCTGCAACCGGCATTTCTGGTCATGGTTCCTGGAAGCAGCGGCTCTGAAACACGCCGTGCTGCAGGGCTGCTGTGGGACCTGGAGCCACTGCCGGTGGCCAGAAATTCCCCGAGGCTTCAGCTCTGCAGGGCAGCTCCTCTCCGAACACGGTGCTCTGTGGCTTCGCCCTGGACTCACATCCGTTCCCAGCCAGAAAGCGGCAGAGGGAAGGATTTCTGCAGATACCTCCTCTGCTTCCGACATCCAACGTGTGTCTTGAGTGCTGAGCATTCTTCACCGCAAGCTGTGTAGTGCCAGAGCACTGCTTAATATTACACCTGAGAGCAGCTCAGGGGCTTCCCAGTTGGTTTTGTGCCACAAGGTGAAGTGTTTATCTCAAGTCTGCTCAATTGGTAAAGAACAGACTTCCCTCTTGTCACCATGGAGGTTACATCAACCCTGAACTCTGAGCAACCGGCGCTCTGCACAGTATGTAAAGCAGCGCAAGATATGGATGTACATCCTGCTCTGTGCCCTGACAGTTCCGTTCCCCCACATTCCTGCCAGATAATCCAGACGCGCTTTCTGGTCACCTTAAGCTGCAGCATTCATCACCTGCCTCCGGGAGGGCTCGGATTGGTTTTGCAGATGCGCGTGGACTCGCTAGCGACTGCGTTCTGCCTCTGAACAGACCGTTGCTTCATATTCTGTCTCGCCAGTCCCATAGAAAATTACATCTCTCCTCAGTCCCCTCGCAGAGTTACACCTTCCCTTTCAATTTTATACTCTTGATGAAATACAGATCTCATTTCTCTGCTGGTGCTTTCAGGAGAGGGAGAAATGCCTTAACAGCCGGATTTTTCACAATGGGAAAGCAGTGTCTCCTCACTATGGTGCAATACTTGTGATCTTTTCTGTTGCTCCTGCTGTACAAGGTTGTAGCCCTGAGAGGCTTTATATCACCACTATCGCTGATGAATTTCTCTAGTAATTTCCAATATCTTCTGTCAGCTTGCATCCAGTCATCAGCATGAGTTATAAACCAAAGAATTGTGGGGGGAAGTAGCTGCTGCCTTCATTGATGAAAGTGCAGGTACCTGCAGGCATCGCTTCAGGAAGGTGGAAATTGGCCCTTTGGCACTAGCAGTGCTGCACGGCCGCCGTGAGTCACGGCTCCAGGAGGTGCCAGCACCAGGGTCCCCCGCGTTCGGGGTGAGGAATAAGGACGCGATTTTGCTGGCAGGAAAACTTACCTTGTCTTTTTTACCTCCATGTTCTCTAGTTCCTAGTGTGGGGTTTG